CCAGAGCAGCTGGAGTGCTGAAACTTTTTGAGCACTACCTAGGGCCGTCTTTAAGTAACCCCAAGCGAAGGAAACACTCACGTTGCCACTCACGTACGAACACGCGGAATTTGGCGTAACTCCGCAACCGAAGCATTTAGAGCGCTGAATTTTTTGGGCATGGATTGGGAGTCATTGTAATAATTTCTAACAGTCATGGTGGCCAGTCACAATTCTTTTAGCTTGAAGCATCTGCTGGGAAGAGCGTGCCACTGGCGAAAAAAACCTGCGGGGGAACTGTGCAAAAAACGCATCCTCGCACTGGCAGCCGGTACGCTTTCGACTAAGTTGCATCTGCATATATGTAACCCAGGATGGGACGCACCGGGAGGGCCCGTGCGATAATGCGCTTTTGCACCGGACTTAAAGTACTCAGGTCATTAACTGCATGAATGTTTGTGGCTTTACACCTACCTTTTGCGGTCACTAGCATAAATCATCATAAATCTTGCATAAAGTAAATGTACAGTTTCCATTTAACGATCGTTCTTTAAAAACAATCTAGCTGTTCAGTGAGAAATTTTTCCGCCAAAACCTTTAAGTGCCCCTACGCAACTTTTAAGTGCCCTCAAGGCTGAATTTAAAATACTTAAGTCGTACTTGGACAAGGAACATTCCCCTAAAATTTCAGCTTTCTAGCTTTTCTAGATCCTGAGTTAGCAATTTTCCCGCAGAAAATTTCACACGTTCTTACATTACATGAGTACAACGCATAGCTGGGGCTGAATTTGAAATATTTGAATTTAACTTGGACAGGGAACATTACCCCAAAATTTCAGCCTTCCAGCTTTTCTGGTTGCCGAGTTAACAATTCTCCCGCCAAATCTTTTATGTGCTCGTACGTAGGTTACGCATACCTGAGGGCTGGATTTGAAATATTTAAGTTGTACTTGGACGGGGAACATTCCCCCAAAATTTCGACTTTCTACCTTTCCTGGTTCTCGAGTCAGCAACTTTCCCTCAAAACTTTCGTACGTCCTCAAGTTAGTACCACGCATGCCCAGGAGCTGATTTTGAAATCTTTAGCTAATACGTGCACAGGGAATATCTCTACAAAGTTTCTGCCCCTTACCTTGTCTGGTTCCCGAGACCGCTTTCCCGCCAAAAAATTTGCATATTTTTTTAAAGAATCTGTGCGCGACACCCAGGCGTCCGCGGGGGATGAAATTAAAACGAGAGAGTCGTGCACAGTATGGACACATAGTCCCAAAGTTTCAGCCTTCTAACTTTTCCGGTTCTCGAGTTGGAAGTGGGTGACAAAAAGTGAGGACACACAGAGCCTCTTTCCAATATGCGTTTTTGCAATTTGCATATATGTAAAAACGCATAAAAATGACAGTTAAACGGAGATTTTTCACTTTCCTTTATGCAAAATTTACGATGATTTACACAAGTTAGCGCACAGGGTAAATTTAAAGCAAGAATTAGTCATTCAGTTAAAACCTGCTTGCTTCAAGTATACTGCAAAAACGCACTATCGCACTAGCAGCTCAGTGAGTTCTAGCCTAGAATTTTCCTGATTTTAATGCTCATTTATATGGTCAGGCACAAGCACATGTGCTCTATACATATACGTACATATACACTTGCAGGCATAAGATCCTCTTGACGCTTTTTCTTTGATTTGTGGCAGAACAAACAAAAATGGCCACTTCAGAGGTTGACATGTATTCAGACAGGCTCCACTGCAGAAAAGAATCAGGAATGAAGAAAACTGGAATGCCCTCGGCTCGGCTCAGTCATGCGATATGCGTTCGTCCTGAATCTGGGTGCGAACTAAGGAACCGGTAATGCCGTTCTAGGTGTCGCGATCAAGACTGCTACCGCTAACTTTCTCTCGACATCAATTTTTTTGCTATTCATGTAAAACCCATACATCCTCCTTCCTCTCACAACTCCGGTTACCGTTTCCTACTCCCATCTTCAAACAAGGTTTCAGTTCCTTTCCACTCAATATCTCCTCCGTTGCGTTTCCCTGGAGCCTAAGTCACCACTCCACTCTCCTCCATTCAATGCATCTCGCTCTCAGTCCGACCGCGTCGAACTGGGTTTTAGTAACTGCCCACTGCATGCGCCTTCCACCAAATACTGCCAAAAGCATACCTTTTTATAGATTGTCTTTAGTTCGTCCTTCTGCTCGGCCCAAATCTTCCCTAAACCGCTGGGGAAATGCTCAGGTTCCAAATCGGGATATAAAACGGCTGGTGTCGAGAATGTCGTCGGCAGAACACTTAGGTAAGGAGCCCAGTCCGAGCTCTCCTGATCCTCTACCAAAAAGAAACAAACCAGCGCTTCAAACGGTTGTAGACGGCATCTGAAAACGCCCGATGAAACCGACGCATGTCAAACTCCACACACTATATCCCTTACAGAACAGCTTTACGACTGCAGGTGAGGCGCACAAAGCCATCAAATGAGAATTAACCTTTTGAACAAACCATCATATCCTGCCATATCGGCAACCACCCCGGCAGTGATAATGAGACTGGAAGGAACGCACATTAGGATTTCACCTTCACGAAAATCCGTTCCGGCGAATAATCCCTTTCCAGCCTCACCCAGACACTGCTCAGCATAGACACCAAAATTCTGAGCACCCCGTTCAACGACCCATCGCATAAAATCCGGGCAACTCATGTGCAGCAAAAACCTGCAATACCATCAGAAAGATCCAATTACCGCGGGACGAACACTGATTTGTCAGCACATTCATCAGCATCGCCCTTCCAACAAAGATCGGGTTCGAATCAAACAAATTTAAGCATCGTCATTTTTCCTCTAACAATCCCCACAACGTTTTGTGCTGTGCTGCGTCTTTTGTGACACTGGTCTAATTACTTTTCTGCACTGCCGGACAAACCCTTTAAAAAATGCACTCCCTCGGCTAAATTTCGCATCCTTCCGACCCAATTTTGTTCCCATCCTGATGACTGTCGGTGTCGTTCTTCGCCCCTTTCTTTTATCGGGCAAATCAGCACAATGGTAGAAAGGTAATTTTTAAGGCCCTAGCAATCACTCTCGAAAGCTCTTGGATTATTCTGAAACTCTGCGCTCCGATGTGACGTCAACAACTGCAAAAGAAAAACACTGCGGGCTTTAAAAGACAACTGTGATGGTGCGTTTCTTTGTACAAATGATTCAGTTCATAGCGCCGGCTCGATCTCATGCAGCACCCATCGCAACAAACATTAAATACAGTATACTGTGTATGAAGCAAAAAAAAAAACCCCGTAGCCATCAGAGCCAGCATCTCACTGTCTTCAAGAGATACGCTCAGGCAAGGGAATACGTCCGAGCGATACGACACTCACAACGCCCAATGGAAAACTGACGAGACAGTGCAGGTGATCGGGCAAGCACCGCCGTTATTAATCGAAAGCGATCAGCCTCCAGCTACCTCGTTCATCAAATCAAATTGCTTCTGCTACTGCTGAGAACACAACAGATGCGCCTCTCCGCTCTCGATCGAGCACTCCCCAACACCAGCGAACGCTCATTTCAGGCGAGAGTAAACACAGGCCCCAGGCCACACAAAGTCATTCCGGATCTCACACCCAGCACGCTTACTCTTAGCTTACAACGAAGCTGAACGCTAAAAAAAGAACCTCATCCCTCCGAAACGGCATGAACGGATGCTGCACTCAGCGTGATGTGCTTGCCCCAACACCGGTGATAAATAGTGCCCACTTCCGAGCGAACAAATTCAACACTCAGGCAAGCAGTCAGTAATCCTGTTTGCGGGCGCTGATGAATTCAGCAGGCATCAGCGACGTGCACAAAGGGCGGCGAAATCCAGACATGGGTGCCCCGCCCGCGCTCCATTTAGTACCTCACTTAATTTTTCAACAAAATAATATGGCCAAATACCACAACCCAAAGCAAGACCCTCCAGCGAGGAATTCTGGATTGCCCCCGCATCTTTCTGAATTTAGCAAAACCCTCCCACCTGTAAACCGATGCTCGAAAAATGCCAACATCTACAAACAGTTAGGTACGAAGTAACTACAGCTCTCGACGTACTGTCAATGTTTTAATTCCGCAGCTGCTTCATTCCGACAGCAAAAGGTTCCCAAGTTGTGCAGTGTTCTGGTTAAAAACCGATCAAAAATTGTTGCCTAAGAACTTGAAACTGATCACGCACCAGTGAGAAACG